ACAAAACTAGGTTAAAAGTCCCAGGTCTAAGACTTAGTAGCTGTGTGATTCCTTAAGCTTCTTTTATTTCTCATGTCTAAGTTATGGATGATAATACCCATTTCGAGGGGGTGCTATAAGGATTAAATGAGAAAATGCATATAATAGGACATAATAGGTACATGATAAGGGAGATGGGAGTAGCCACTTCTTCCTATGCCTGAGAATGCTGTTAAAACGCAGATTCTGGTTCAGTGGGCCGTGGGTGCAGCCTGAGACTCTGAATTTCTAACAAGTCCCCAGGTGATATCCATGATGTTTCTCAAGGGACTGTACTTTCATTAGCAAGGTCTCAGAGATTATTTTGGTTTTGTTTTTATTTTTGAGAAACTGATGCTAGAGGTGAATCTTAAAAAATGAACAGATGCCATCCAAAAAGACAACAGACAGAGGAAAGAAGAGTATTCCAGGAGGATTAATGGAAGTACAGGGCTTGCGAGTAGCATAAGAAGCACGGTGGTCTGAGGAGCCTGTCGAGTGAACTCGGGGAGAGGAGTTTAGAATAAGAGAGGGTAGCTGGTGCAGTCGTTTGTGCCTGTAGTACCCACTACTCAGGAGTCTGAGGCAGGAGGGTCGCTTGAGTTCAGGAGTCTGGGATGTAGTGTGCTATGCCCATGTCTGCAGTAAGTTCGGCATCGATATGGTAACGTCCCAGGAGTGGGGTACCACCAGGTTGCCTAAGGTGGAATGAACTGGCCCAGATTGGAAATGGAGCCGGTCAAAACTCTCATGCTGATCAGTACTGGGATTGCACCTGTGAATAGCCACTGCACTCCAGTCTGGGAAACACAGGGAGACTTTGTCTCTTAACAAAATAATAAGAAAAAGAATGAGGGAGACATGTTAGACATGGGGTCTTCCATGCCTTGCCAAGGAGTTATTTATTCAATAGGAAATGAGGGACCCACAGAAGGATTTAAGATGTGAGTGATTTGATCAGCTGCAAGATTCAGAAATATTACCCTGGAAACAGTAGGAGGATGGGTGGGGTGGGAGGGTGATGGGAGTCAGCAGGGTGGTATACTTGGTGAGACAGAATGAGTATAAGCCAATGCAGCAATAGCAGTATGGTCTGAGAGAAAGCAATGCCTGTAAGAGACATCAGGGTATAGAACTGACAAAATTAGACATGAAAAGATAAAATGAAGTTCTAACTTCCTGCTAGGTTTCTGATTTCAGTGACTGGGTGGAAGATAATATCACTTTCCTAGTAAGTAAGAGGGAAGAAAAGTAATTCAGGAGGAAGAGAAGAGTTTGTGGAAAAGAAAATGAGTCGAGTTTGGAAATACGTCGAGTTTGTGCAACATCCAAATGGAAATGTCTAATAACAAAGTTGGAGGTACAGAACTGTTTGGGAGCTGGGTATATTGCGGTAGAAGGAGTCATGGAGATGGGTTCTGTCACTCAGGGAAAATAGCTGAGAGAGATGCAAGAGAAGACAAGACATCATGCAAACCAACATGAGGGTTGAGCAGAAGAGAAACCCATGAAAGAAGACTGAGGAGAAATGATTAGAAAGAAGCAGAATCAGGAAGAAATGCTGTCAGAAAAGCCTTGAGAGATGAGAGATTCTAGAAGAAATTGATCAGCTGTGTCAAATGCAGTTAAGAGGTCAAGTAAATAAGGACTAAACACGAGGAATTGGTGATATTTGTCAGAGTAGTATCAGTAGAATAATGTAGAGAGAAGCCAGATTACGGTGGGTTAAAAATGAATGGAAGATAAGGAAGCAGAGAGAGTCAATGTAGAATATTCTTTCTAGCAACTTGGCTATAATGAGAAAATTTTAATAACTAGTAGTCAGAAATAGCCCCAAGATTGAGTGTTTCATTTAATTCATTCCTTCATTTATTCATTCATTTGTTGTCCTCAGCACATTTATGGCTGCTGGGAAGGAGTGAGTAAAGAGGAAACATTTAAAAATAGGTCAAGGGAGTGACGAAGAGAACAATGCCCAGGAGAAGCAGCATGAATGCATTTGAGACTGTAGGAAATAAGGTGGAGCTGGGCACTTGTGCAGATGAGTTCCTAGATGTAGGGATGGATATCACACACTTAGTAGCTCAAATTTATCATGTAACATGGAAGACAGGATCATTGGCTGGGCACTAAACGTGGAATTGCACCTAGAGATAAACTGTATAATGAGGCCTATCCTCAAACTTGGGTGGTTTTCTTCAGCAGTTCCTGACCCTCTGCTCATATTTCCTTTGAGATTGTCCTCAAACCTGTTGATGCTACCTCAAAAAAATAAAAGCGCATGTGCTTCACAAATAGAGCATCCTCTGATACACCAATCTTTGGAATTCCAAACAGCAAGCTGGCCTTCTTCCCTCTGCACTCCATTCATCTGGTTTTCCAGTCGACGAGAGGAGATAGAGACAGAAAGATGGATGGTGTGTGTGCATGTATATATGTTGCACTCTTTAGGGGTGATGACATCTCTAGGCCCATGAAAGAAATCTCCCAAGTTTTAAGAATGAAAAATTTGAAAATTGCTGCTTCTATTCATACCGAAATATTACTTGGTGCCTTTTTTCTTCAAACTTTTGAATCCAAATAGCTTTATGTGCCAAAATTCTTATGTTCATTTTGCCTAGATAATCCTGAGTCCTCAACGTCCACTCCAGCTCTCAGTTGGAAGTTATTCAATATTTAACTAACTTAATATAGGAGGCTAATGGTCTTTGGTGACGAAGAGGGCAACAGGCCACTGGCTTTAATTTCAGGCTTCCATCTTGAGGACATCTCTGCTGAATTCTGAAGGTCAACTGCAAGTAGAGACACAAATCAGCCAGCTCATAAATCCTCGAGGTGAAAAGAAGAGGAGGATGGGGGGCAGAAAAACAGTTTAGAAAATGAAAGTTATAATTCTATTTTGAATTACATCCACTGGTAGAAAATATTATTTCAAATATTTTTGGATGAGTTAAAAAATCTCTGTAATAACCAATTCTCAACTAGGCTACTTCAATATGTATTTTATTAATTCAAGTATCCCGTCTGCTAGTCTTACATTTTCCCAACTTCTTTCCGAAAATATTTCTTAAATACTGAACACTACAGTTTTTTCAGTCTACACAGGCATCCAATTCCTTAAGGGTCCCCAGAATTTACCTGAAATACACACCACGAAGTTGATCAGTGACCTAGAGAGGAGGTACAGGAGCCCAGTGCTCTAGTAAACAGCTTAGAAAGTGGTTGTGCAATGGTTTTGTCTCCAGGTCAAACTCTGTAATACTCCTGACTCCCTGAAAAATACCAATGTCCAGTATTTTGAAGCACATCCAAGAAGGTATTCAGGATAATGGCAAAGGGCATAGTTACCATGTTACCCAAAGAATGTTTGAAAGAACAAAAACTATTTAATCTAGAATTTGAGGAAACATGAGAGTTGGCTGTATTAATATACTTTCTTATGCAAGTGAGAGATGCCAGTTCAAAATGGCTTAAGGAAAAAGCAGATGTGTTGGTTTAGATAATTCAAAGTCCAGTCAAGGATCCTGGATTAGGACATAGCTGGAACCAGGAGCTCAAACTATGTCATCAGTACTTTGTCTTTCTTTCTCCATCTCTTGGTTCAACCCTTCTCTGTGTTGACTTTCTTCTCAGCCAGCTTTTCTTCTTGCTCGCACAGTGCCATGCTTACCTCTTACCCTTGTAGAAACTCTACTGAGAAAGGGATACTTCCAAAATTTTCAACAAAAGTCCTGGACTCAATGCCTCTAAATGGCTTGGCTTTGGCCAAATCCCCACCTGCAGCCCTGGAGACTAGATGAGTCTCCAAGAAAAAAAACCTTTGTGCTATTCTCACAAGAAAGGGAGTGAATGCCAGGCAGGCAAAGCAACAGATATCCTGCACTGCCTTCAAGTATGAGGTGGGCACTCATGTGGATAAGGAGATACACTTCTGTGAGGCTGCAGAAAGGAGAAGTAGACCCTCTCTGCATGAAACTTACCTGAAAGCAGATTTCATCTCACTCCAAAAAAGGACCTTGACACAGAACCATTAGCAGTTGAAGTAGGCTGCCTCAGTATGTGGCAAGTACCAGGTCTTTCCACGTGATCAGGTACAGGCCAGATGGGCAGCCGTCAGGCGTGCTGGCAAGGAATTCCTGCATTAGGCAGAGCTTTACCTACATGACCTATAAGGTCACTTTTGACTCTACAATTCTATTATCCTTGTTAATTTCCACAATTTAATTTGCAGTACAGGATAAACAAACCAACCTAATTTGATCTGGAACTTCTGCAGGCTATCGTAGGTCATTTAATCCAAAACACATGGCTCTAGCCATTACTCTGTTTTCTGAAGTCATCTAACAGACCTTGTCCCTAACAAGGTCTCCATGTTATTAGTTTCACTCATGGCTTTTTCCAGCCTCCTGCTTGTTCCACAATTGCCTTTCATTTTCCTTTAGACGGGGGTGGCAGGAGCATGAAAGAGTTTTCTTCTTTCTGACTTTCTCCTCTTAAATCTTTAGTAAGTGAGTCCCTATTAAAACTACACTGCTTACATCTCTACCTCTCAATTTGGCTTTTACTTTGCAGGTTTGAGAGTCTATGAGAAACAGAGGGAGGGCCATAGATAACCACAGCTCCTGACTATCAAGGCAAACATTCAAAGTAGGAAGAATGAGGTCTTTAAATTTTATATTAAAAATTAATTTATAAAGTAAATTTAAACATCACAACGTTGTTAGAATTAGGGTACCAAAACCACTTGAGTCTTACTCATTATGAAATATACACATTTGCATTAAAATTGTATATTTTAACATACTTTAAATATATTTAAATAAAGATCATTCTTTCATGGCTGAAAGCACACCCACCATACACATACTCTCCTCTGCTTAAACTGGAACTGCTGTGTTACAGAATCTAGCTCACAAATAAAATTTTGTTTTTGCCAGGACATGTCCATCTTAATAACTGATGGCATTTCTTGTCTTTTTCAGTGAACGTTGTGTCGATGTTACAGGAATTTTGGGAGAGCAAGCAGCAGCAGAAGGCTGCGTTCCCAAGTGAAGGTGTGGTGGTCTATGAGTCGCTGCCGGCACCGGGGCCTCCCTTTGTGAGTTACGTGACCCTCCCAGGGGGGAGCTGTTTTGGCAACTTTCAGGTAAGAAGCTGCCATCAATTTCTCAGTGAAAATTCATTGTATTAAAATAAAGTAAACCCTTTTGTAAAATGGTTACATTGTAAGTTTCCTTGGATATGGTGAACAAAGTTGTGCCATGTCCTATTATACATACTGGATAATTAGTCAGATGTCCCAATTGCTTTAAATGGGAATGATTTATATTAGGATATTCCCTGATATTTCTTTACGGAAAATGAATTTTATAGCACATTGTTTTACTTGCCAGATAGCTGCTTTCCTTTCCCTCAGAATATTCTGGAATAAGATGTAAGGAACAAGGGAATGGTGGCAAAGCTTTTTTATCAAGATCCTTCCATCAGGTCCCTTCTATCAGTAGAAAGTCTCTGCTGTCATGAATTTTATAATCAAATATTAATCAATCTACTACACACCAAAGCATGAATCAACAGAAAAGGATCGAGAATCACAGACTGGTTTCAAGCACCTGTATTAAGCCGAAATTCTGCCTCTGACTACCTGTATACCCTTGGGAAACTTATTTAACTTTTTAATCTCCCCAACTTTGAGATGTGGAATACTATCCATGATGTTGGTTAGAAGCCATATAAATTATATATGCAATGTGTTTAACATGGCATCTGGTACTCCAAGTAGGTATTCCAAGTATTGTTTTTGTAATTATCGTAAAGACTCTTCGAGTTGGTTAAATCCTTATGTTTATGATAGGGTATAAAAGATGGTGCATTTCTAATTGTACCTACTCATAAAAAAACGTTTGCCTATGCATCTGGTTCTCCAGTATATATAACAAATACTCATTGAGCAACTAGGAAATACAAAGCACTGGGCCAAGTACTGAGGTTATGGTTCATACCCTGAGGAAATCAATGCACAAAAAAAGTTACAGTAATTACATAGGGTTATATTTGAGGGTCAATGAAAGCAAAGGGACAGGAACTTCTAAATTTGCCAATCCCTTTTAGAAGAACCCCTTTAATACAGCAAATTATCTCTCAATTTCCAATATTTCACAAAGATGTTTTATTTATTGCTATGGACATTGTGAAACTCTTAAGCAATCCAGTTTCTATCTCAGCTTTGACAACTAAGAAGCCCAGAGGCAAATTTTCAGTGTATCTCTTTATAGCTTAAGGCCACAGAAATTAATGACATATAATTTTTAACACTCACCTCATACCTGAAATTATTTATATGTCTACCTTTACTCTCTGCCTTTGAACTTACTGCCTCATTCATTTATTTTATCCTGTTACTCAGTGTATCTGTTTTACATTGTCTCAAATCCTCTGTGGAGTGAGAGAAGGGTATAATTTAATAAACAGACCCACAAACGTGTGCTGCCTAGGGGAAGTCAAAGATGGGTTCACGGGGAATTTAAATGTGAACTGAGACATGCAGTAGAGGGTGTCTCAGCCTGTTGGAAAAGGAAGATGATATTCTCTACATAGGGAACCACAGCATTTCAGAATTAGGGGAACATAAGGGTCAGTGTATGTGGCAAGGAACAATGGGAGAAGACATTTAGGCAGTCACATCAAAACATAAGAGATCTTCATGCCTTGCAGGTTTTATTCTATATAAAAGCAGAAATCCTCAAGGATTCTGAGCAGAAGAGTGATATATTCAAATATGCTTCAGAAAGATTACTCTGGCAGCAGCATGGAGATGCTTTGTATCTAAATGATGCTAAAGACTGAGAGGCTGGTAGGAAGTGAGCAATGAGTGCCCGTGGAGATGAGCTGCACACACAGCACATTTAGGAGGTAAAGGTGACAGGATTCCATTAGGCTGGGAGTTTAGATGATAGCTCAGTTCTGGCTTTGGCCACTGGGTAGGAATACAGGAGGACGGAATACAAGAAGAGGAGGAGCAGGTCTGTGGAAGGGAAGAACAGAGTCAGTGTGAAGCGCCTTGAAGCCCCCAGGCAGAGAAGGCAATTGGCAAAAAAAGTGTAGGACCTGAAGCTCAAGAGAGTCATGGGTTGAATTTGTACATTTCTGAGCTGAAGCCATGGACACAGGTAGCACTGCCAAGTGAGAATGTGTGGTGTGAGAAGAAGATCCAAGTGTGATCTTAGGAAGATTTTTTTCTTTCTGTTTTTTGGGTGGGGATCGGGGAGAATAAAAGGAAAAAGATTTCTCTAAAAAGCCTGAGGATTGGCCAGAAAGAGCCAAAGAACCAGAAGAAAGAATTTATGGAAACCAAGGGATATGACATCTTGAGGCCGAGGATGCGGTGAGCAGGGTCAGCCTTAGAACAGAGGTCCGGGGGGATGTGCCCACTGACTGTGACGAATGTGAGACCCTGAATAAGCTCACAGAAGTAATGGCCATGGCGAGAATAGGATACAAGTCAGATTACAGGTTAGAGAGTAAGTAAGCAGTGTCCTTCAATAAAGATTTAGAGGGCTACTTCCTACTCTTGTGGTCAGCACTGCTTATCAAAATAGGACCACTTTGCCTACTGTGCAGTGGTGAGTTGGAGAGAAAGCATGTTCTGGTCAAGTTGTCATCAGTAGCTTCCAGACATCTAAGCCCTAATTAAAGCTAATAAGGACAACTAAGACTGAGCCACAATATTCAAACAGTTCTCAAATAGCCTGCAAAGATGAATCAACAAGATGAACTGCTCTTAGAATGTAGAATATAAAAAACCTCAAGATTGGATGAAGATGGGTTAGACTTAGCACATTCCTTGAACTATTTGCTAATTTAAAATGCCTTAAAATGTCAAAGATGTGTTAAAACAAGTAAATGCACAATAGTGCTAGGCAACAACGAAGGGTGCCATTGGAAGAGATGAGCTTTGAGACAATTATAGGAGATGAAAGTGGAATCAAATTATTAGATGCGAAAACACCACAATCTAAACATTTATAGAAATAATGTATTAATACTATGAAAGTAAAGAACTAGAAAAACTCCAGGACCAGATGAACAAATGCAAAGAGCAGGAGGCAGTCCTTGGGTCATTTTAAGGCTAATTAAAGCACTGCTTTCAAAACTTTTGACCCATCCGGCCAGTGAGGTATTGCCTTCCCCAACCCTGAGCAATAGATTTAGACCCATGATGGATGAAAGTGAATTGACTGAAGAGCATGTTTGAATGTGGGTCTAGAAGCCTCAGAGCAGGGCTTGGTGTAACCCCAGACACCAATGACAAGGGTGAGAGTCAAGGAAGAGGGAAGAAAGGCAGCCACTGAGGAAAAGGTTCCCAATCCATGTGTGCCTGCGGGTCCATTTATAGAGCATTCTAAGGTGAGGTCTGACAGTCAGCATACCCCGCGCACTCATGCAGAGCACCAATCAGCCCTCCCATTCAGGGGAGACCCCGAGGGAAACAGACCTACTCAAGCATGGAGGAAGGTTTTGCCAGCCACCTAAACTGGTATACTTCTTTGTCCAGGAATGTCAATGAAATCACCAAACATTTGAGGAAAACCAAATGCATAAAACAGCAAGGCAAGCAAACAAAATAGCAAAATAATTCAAGCAGCACAGAATATTAGAGTATTACAGTGGATATCCTCAGAAAACTTTGAGAGAATATTTATCCCTAAAACGACTATGAAAGGGGAGCAAACAGGGAACAAGACAGTTAAATATGATTGCCAAATGAGAACAATAAAATAAAAAATAAAAGAGGAGCAAATAGATGAGTAGACATAGCCAAATTGGTAAAGGATAACAATTAACAAAGTAAATCTTCTAGAATTTAGAGCAAGAAGACAAAGAGATGGAAGAAGACAATGTACGAGAATTGGGGACAAATCCACGAAGTAAACACCAATCTAGTAAGAGTTCTACAGAGAGACAAAGGAAATCGAGGGGAGGAAAAAATAACAAAAGCAATTTTCTTTGAGTTAAGGAAAAGCCCAAGTTTTCAGATGGAAATGGCCTACCATTTCCCAGGCAGGGTCATGACAGAAGAATCACAGAGCTCTGTGGCTATATAGGACTTAGGAACAACATTCTGCTTAAAAGGTAGACCAAGGGACTTCTTTTGATACCAAGTTTGTACATTAATCTGTTTTTAAAATTAGGGGAACTTCTGAGGAGCTAATGAAATTGGACAAAAACTGGCAAATTTGGTTAACAAAACCAAAACAGTTCCTTTGAAAAGATAAGACAAATCTCTGGCATTTCTGATTAAGAAAGAAACTAAGACATACGCCACACTAAGCATGAGAGAGGGGTTGCACTCAGGAGTGTAATATGAGAATGCTACATAAATCATTATATTAAAAACTTAGATGAAAATTAGATGATACGGACTACTTTCTGGGAACTCTGTATGATATTTGCAATTCTTCCATAAGTATAAAAGTATTTTAAAATAAAAAGTAAAAGAAAGACGGGACTTCAGTGGCTCCCTATTACCTTCTTATTAAAGTCTGAATTTCTTACTCTGGCAATAAAGACTCTACAACTGGCCCAACTTTCTCTCCCAGCTTCATCTCCTGGATTCCCTCTTCTGACACTTGATGGCTGGACCTATTCTTCATGCACACCTTGACCTCTCCCAGCCACTCCTATACTTTCACACTGTGATCTACTTAGGAAGTGCTATTGCCACCTTCCCTTCCTGGCTAAACCCTGCCCATCTTCCAGGACTCCACACAAACATCACGTTTGCCATGAATTTTCTCTGAATCTCCCTACTAGAAATCTCTACCTCCTCTGACTTCCCAGAGCCATTCTCTCTGTTTCTCTACTAGTGCTCGATGTTTTCCACCTTATGCTAAAGTCACTTGGGTGCATGTTCTGTCTCTGCAATAAAATATAAGTTCCTCAGGGACAGGGTCTGTATTCTTATGTCCCCATGACTCCAAGCACTGTGTTTTGCATATAGTTAAGTGGCTAATAAATTTTGTTAAGTGAATAGCCAAATGAATGAATAACAAATCCCAAGAATAAATGAAGTTAATGTTTGTCCATTCTTGTACATAATAAATAGTCAGCTAAGATATTTTACCTAACTTTACAAGGTGGTGGATG